AACATTAGAGTATTTGAACTACAGTTTGCTGCCTTCTTCTCTTCACAGCTAAGTGGCAAAACATAAAAGAACATCAGGATGCCTGTGATTCAGCGTGGGACTGCATCGCTGCGCAAAGCAAAGAAAATCAATGTGAAAATAAGTTTAGATGACCCCTATGTTATTCAGTGGAAAGCCATAGAGGGCGATGATATGCATTTTATACTACAGACTTTAGAAGAAAGGATTAAACATATTGGACTTAAAAAGATTGAGGCTCCAAGGAAGAAAAGACGTTCCGCTACAAAAAAGCAAATGGCAAGAGAGGGTGATATTGCCAGCAGTGAACTCCCTAAAGAGGAGGAGACAGAAGGCAGTCGCCCAGAACCAGGATGGTCTGATCTAAATATCAGAAGGCAGCTGGCCATTGGAATTAATGAAGTTACAAAAGCTTTGGAAAAAAATGAACTTATTCTCATGCTGGTGTGTAAATCTGCAAAACCTGACATGATCACATCGCATCTCATTCCTCTGAGTGCAAGTCGAGCAACCCCAGCAGGTCAGGTTCCCCGTCTCAGTGAAACCATCGCGCCGCTTCTTGGCCTAAGCTCCGTTCTAGCGCTAGGCTTTAAAAGGCAGTCTGATAAATTCACTGAGGTGGTGGAAGCAATAATTCCAAAGATACCTGCCTTGGAAGTGCCGTGGATTATTCAGTACGGAGCTGAACAGTCTGTGGCAGATGCACATTCGGATTCTTCAGAAACTCAAGATCCGGAGCAGCTTGCGGAACCACCGGGGGAAGAGCCTGCAAGCCAGAAGCGGAAGCGTGCGGAAAGCAATCAGCCTGGCTTTTCAAACGTAGTTCTGCAGCCTTTGAAAATCAAGAAGCTTCTTCCAAATCCCAATAAGATAAAGAAACCTCCTCGCAAGAAGAGAAAAGCTCTCTCAATGTAACTGATTTTAGTCCAGCTCTGGTGATTTCATTTTTCAGTCACTATCAAACACTGAATGATGTTATAAGACTTTACAGTGTGAAGCACTGTTCAGTATAAGCTGAAGTCAGCTCTGCTGCTTTCAGTTGAGGGTCCTTCTGCTTTTGTATTAAAGAGTATGGCTGAAATGTCTGTGTGTGTGTGTATGTAGGGCTATTAAATACTTAACTTGCATTTTGAGATCAGGAATTAAAATCAAGTGCATGAACATCTTGAGGTCCTATCAGATATATCCATGAAATTAGTCTAAAGCATTAACCAAACTTTGCATTTTTATATAGATGAAACACACTGAACAGGAACCACTCTAATTGAAGTGTAATTGCTCAAACTAGTAGATACCAAAATTGGAAGTTTATTTAAACAATGTCTGTGCTGGTAAAACTTTTTAGAAACTGGTTCAATGCCTGTTTCATGTAAACAGCTGATAGTGCAGGCAAACTTCCCTTTTGGACTTTCATACTTTGCTCTGCTGGACACTGAGCTTGTTTTGGTCAAGGACACGTATAGACTTAGATTTCAACCGTGTTTTGTGTCTGATATGCTAAAGAACAAAACTTTGCTTTCCATATACAGAACAAGACCAAATTACTGCTTTGCTGCATTCTGAAAAAGAACTCTATGCAAATTACATTTTTT